TAAGAGCATTTTGAATGACAACATGGTAAAATTAAAATACGACTAAAAGCCATTCTAGAAAGTTTCTAGTGAACCTTCGAAAATAACTCAATAGCCTAATAGTTGTCCTCTTAAGCCACATGTTGTGAGAGCCTCTTCGGTATATAGCCTCTTCTTTGCTTCGTACCCCAACCTAATCGATTATCACTCTAAAACTGTAACGACAAAATTTGATTCCAAATTCTAAGGTATGAAAGAAAATCGCAATCCTAACGTATCTGAAAATTCATTATTATCTTTTCGAAAGATACTTTTTAGCAGGGTAAGAGAAATTAGAATCAATATATTAATTGCTGAATATCCTAAACTAAAAATTAATTAATTTATCATCTAGGCTTACGGATTACGTCTCTTTGTTTTTTAGCAATCATTCTACTCGATTTTTCTTTTAAAACCAATGACTCCATCAAGACTTTTCTTTTATCAATTTAAATTGATTATATATTTAATTAATAATTATTTAAAAATATAAAGCAAACCCTTAGACGTTCCTTTTTACAAGCGAATATTTTAATTATTTTAATAAAATCATCCACAGTTTCGTTTGTAATCTAGAAACTATATATTACAAATATCTTCTTGCTCATTCTTTATTAGAATTCATGAATATCGATTCTTTACTTATTTCCGCGCGAGTAAAATATTTAAAAATGTATTAAAATATTTAAAAGCTCAAATAATTATAAACGCGTTTGAGCAAAAAGACCCCATCCTGATCTAATAAATAAATCAAAAAATAAGAAACCATACACGAGTAAATCTCCGAAGAAATTTACTCGTGGTCACTCAATGCTCTTCTACTAATTAATTACAACCAATCACCCGTGCCGATTTGGACCTTTCGTCCTCGATATGATTGAATGATTGGAGGGACTTAAAAATTCAGTCACTACTTAAAAAGTTTTGTGATGACTCCAAAACACTCGTTCATATCGAAATTGAGAGTGGATGATTCGTATGTGACTGAAAATTAGATAGGATGACATCGAAGTTGATCAAGAATCTCTTCAATGATGCACTGACTCTATTACGCGATAGTTATTTTTTAACGAACGGTCATTGAGTTTACTTCGTGAAACTTTATTGTCTTTAATAAATACAGTCTGTACGACTGTTAAAAAATTAATAAACTTTGCGAACAAACATTGACTCTAACGACTGCATTGCACGTAGACGATGCAAAAACTTTTGCTTCTTAAATCGCGAAACGTGAACGAAACGAATACTGCTTCTACTTCTCGATATTCTTAGTTAAGCGATACAAATATTCGATTACATCATTATTTCGTACATGATTGCAATGATGTTCTGAAACAAAAAAATTAAAACAAAATTATTAATATAATTGTTATAATAAGAAACTGTATAAATTATTGAAGAAACGTGCGATATAAAAACATATTTACCTCAAATATTCATTGATACTTACAGCAAAGACATCCTGAAAGGCTTTTGATGTTTACTCGTCAAAGGATAAAGGAGAACTAATCTGGTAATCGTCCAAGTCAATAACAAGACAGAATTTCAATCCTTACTCATCACAGTGCAAGAAAAAACTAACTGGATAACTGTCAAAGTTAAGAAAAAGCGCATTTATGTTTATATTACACGAGACAACTATCCCAAAATTAAAATATTAAAGTAATAGAATTTTATATTAAAATTATTCTAAGTCCCGCGCACGTATTCGTATTTCTAACATTTAAATAAATATACTATTGTTTGAATATTACTCTATTCTATCCCGTGTACATTAAAGACTATTTAAATAATTATAAAATTACCGAGGATATTAATTTATAAGTTTTCGCGTGTGTAAAAATAGAGATCCGATGTGCACTGGTCGAAGTGCAAAGGTAAAACTAACTCAGTAATTTTCAAAGTTAATCGAGGAATTGTTTATGTTTATATTGCACAAGGCCACCAACGTCGAGATTAAAATTTTTAAGAATTGGCATTTGTTTTAAAATTATTTTAAATTCCTCACGCTTTACGATCTTTATAATGTTTATACATCTATAATGTTTATACGAATGTACTATTGTTTAAATATTATTTTAATGTACACAGCATAATAAAAAAGTTATCGAAAGTATTAATTTACAAGTTTGCACGTTAAGAAAAAGATAGTGTAATGTGCATTCGTCGAAGTACAAAACAAAACTAACTCCGTAATCGTTAGAGTTAATGAAAAGATCGTTTATGGTTATATTACATTTCGATTTAAGTATTGAAATATTAAATTAAAATTATTTTTAGTTTCTCGCGCGATTCCGTTCTTTTAATATTTAAACAAATGTATTATTGTTTAAATATTAGATTATTCTATTTCGCGTACATTAAAGATTATTTAAATAATTGAAAAACTGAAAGTATTAATTTATAAATTTTCACGTTTAGAAAGAGAGAATGTGATGTACACACGACGGAATAAAACGGAAAACTGAGTTATCGTCAAAGTTAAGAAAAAGCGCTTTTAAATTTATATTATGCAAGGTCAACTACTCTGAGACTAAATTTTGAAAGTATAGAAGTTATTATATTAAAATTATTTCAAGGTTCTCGTGCGTTGCCGTCTTCTCAATGTTTAAACTAATATACTATTGATCATATATTAATTTATTCTATTACGCGTCCATTAGAGACGGGTCTAAAGAGCTATACGATTTTTAGCGAAATACACTGTTGTTTAAATATTGCATTGTCGCATTTCGTTTACGTTGTAAATTGTTTAAATAATTATAAAATGGTAGTATATGTAAGATAATTAAATGTAGCCGTACGGAGAGATTCTATTTCGATGTTTTCTTCTCGGAATACGAAAAAAGAATGACGTGGTAACTCGCATTGTCCTTCCAGTTTAATGTCCTTCTTGTTGAATTATCGAATGACGAAAATTGAAAAAACAAACTATTCTATCTAATTAATCTTAAGAGCTATGCAACGCTTTACGCAATCTAATATTGTTTATTACCTCCGAGTGCACTGTACTTATAATTATAAAATGATCGAATCTATAAGACGATTGAATGTAGATTTTTCATTTCGACGTTTACTCCTCGGCGTACGAAAAAACTACCGACGTAGTAATTCGCACGGCCATTCCAAAGGATATTTTTTTGTTGACATTGAACGATCGACAAACTCTGTAAGAAAAATATTCCTGGAATCTTCTTCTTTTGTTTATGTTTTTTCTTTTTCCTCTTAACGCGACTCTGAAATTTTCATTGTCACATGTTCGTAAAAAAAATGAAGGTCGGCGCGTAACAAATGGAGTTTTATTACACTCAAGGTAAGCAATATTATTCTCTTCTATTCGTGTTTAATTTTATCTATTACATAAATTCTTTATAATACCCGTCTATATATAATCAATGCTTCACATTAATTCACTCACATCATGTTTCATAATTAGACGAGATTCAGAATGATGCAAAACAATATTATAATCGTTGAATCCTTTATCGATTTTTCATGTATAGATTATAAATAAAAATAAAAAAAACTTATGATGAGGATTAATTAAAAAAGTACTAAACGTGCTCTGTGCAATATATTTAAATTTCATAAAAAAACGAACAGTTTATACACTTAGTTGTAATTGTGTATTTAGTAAAAATTAAAGATTAATATATAATTAGTTTATGATATTCATGATTGTTTGCTGCGCACATAAATTTCCAACGATGTCCAGTTGATGATAGAAGAATTAAATCGTGGTTTAACGATGCGATACGATTTAAACAATTATGTAAAACTTAATCTCTTTGATTTTCTGTTAATATTGAATGATGAATGAAATAAAAGTTTTATGCAAAGTACTAAAGAAGGTTATCGATCATGCGATATTCACTCTTGAAATCTCGTGTGTGTCTATGTGTGTGTGTATGTGTATATACATATATATATATATATATATATATATATATATATGTACACATATATATGTATATTTAATATAATTATTATTTATTAACTTACTAAATACAAGTATATATACTTAGCGTCAAGTTTCATGCAGAATCGTCTCGTGTACTTGCTGCACGACGGTTGTACTCTCTCATACACACTCATTAAGAGCGCAATTTTCTCGAGTAATTCTCAAGATAATTAACTTTTAGGCGGGGCAAACTGTAAAGTAGGGTTTTAACGTATACATTCAGAATGTTGCTATAAAAACCTTTTACTACGTGACTTTCCAAGGATCTCTTTCATTTAAATGTTCACATTTAAACATTAATTCTTTTTACGCCTGACATTAGGCTAATGAATGAATTATTTGAATTTCTTATCGAAGAAATGTACAATGATAATACAACAATATATTAACGAATTCCCTTAAATTTTGAAATAAAGAAAAGACAATACGCACACATATATATTGCCAGCTTTTTTTCATTTCTTTATAAATTTATGAATAATTATAAATCATTTGCCTCGTAGATATTAAAAATTATTTCGTAACAGCCGGCAGATAGACGGATAGAAATGATTTAGTCTACGAAAGAGATCGACACAATTTTAATACAAATATATATATATATATATATATATATATATATATATATATATATATATATATATATCCATATATATATAGATTTATCGTGAATTAAAATTCCTAAAATTAATCTAAAACATTCAGCTATCATTCGTAACTAAATCATAAAATCCTCCGATTTGGCTAGAATATATTGTAACGTAAAATATGTCGTTTATTAATGCCAATATCTCGTAAAGATACGCATAAAAGTAAATTAGTAGTTGCAAGTGCACCAATAGGATCTAATATATGGACAAGTATATTGAAATGGAGCCCTTATAGGCGAAAAAATGGCAGAAATTGTGTCGATCTGCTTTCAAAGCCAGAATAAATTTTCTCTCATCCTCGGTAATAAGCCCATCTCTCACTTTGTCCCGATAACACTTCGTACATATACATTCGTTTAATAATATATATACTCAGTCCCGTTCACCCCTTTCTTCGGCACGCTCTTCCGCTCTTGCTTTCATTCGAGTAATAAACGCCTGCCCCTTACTCTTCCGAAAATTTTCATACGGATCGTTCAAATTGATGCCGACTCCCTTGTATTGATCGTTTTTATCTCGAATTTCACCACCCGATATAGGAGCCTCGATACCTTGCTCGTTGGCACCTAGTCCTGCACCACCCCAGCCCATTTTTTTTAACAACTGGTGCCCCTTATTACTTTCGTCGAGGCTTATTTCTTGCGGAGCTTTACTATACGTCGATCCACTAAAAGAATCCGAAAAGATAATCGTTTGCAGGAATAAAATATGTATATGAAAAACAATTTAGAGATTCAATAGGAAAGAAAATAATTTTCATTAAGTAAATGAAATTGATAACTTACAGAAAACTCGGAGGAGTTGGACTGCGATCTTGTCTGTCTAATCTCCTCTCTGGACTTCGATCTTTGTTACTGTTCCTTCTTCTACGACTCCTGGTATTATGATTACTGTTACGGCTATTACGTCTATGATTCGCCGTTGGTGATCGCGATCTACTCCTACCCCTCGATCTAGATCTCGATCTACTACGAGATTTGCTTCTGTAACGTTTCTTTGGTGGGCTAGGACTTTTCGATCTTGGCCTTAAAATAGGCGACGGAGACTTTGATTTTTGTCTAATGCCAGCCACAATGTCTTCCTCTTTGCGTTTACGGGCAGAATTTTTTGCCTTATAATATTCGTAGAGACCAAGTTTCTCCCATCCATCGCTAATAAAATACAATAAATAATTAAATTAAGGCACAGAATATTACATGCACTTTGATTATATATCGGCTAAAATTATTTATTATAACTTCTTCACCTGTCTCTCGGTGAATCGTGATTTGGAGGAGCGTAAAATGCTTCTACAGCTGCAACCAATCGATCACTGGGTGGTGCGGGCGGTGGAAGTCTGATTGCGTCGGGATCCAAAGGTTTATACTCTCCGTCTTCCAGTTTAATGAGCGGAACCATTAAACCTGCAGGCAACTCAAAGTAAGGCATGCTAGGCATCAAATCCTCGACAGACGGTTCATGAATGACAGGAGGTGGGCCAAATCCTGGTGGAGGCTTAGAAAAATCCGGTAAAGGAACGTTCGCGAATGGTGGTGGTTCGTTTCCTGGCGCTACACCCCAACCAGGCGGAGGTTGGCTAAAATTAACGTCGCTACCCATCGGTCCGCTTGGGCCAGTATGATTGGGGGGTAATGACATGTTCTGTTGATTCTGTGAAAACAATCCCATTATTTCATAAGCATTAATATTATAATCAATTGAAATGGTAAAACGAAACGAAAGTAGTACCATTTGCGGGGGCGGCGGGGGTGGTGCTTTAAGTTGCTGATCGATCGCTATTTTTTGCTGTTCAATATTTTGAATTTGTCTCAAAGCGTGCGTAACAAACGCTTGATGTTGCGCTTGATAATTATCAAATGTTTGCTTCGTAGAAGTTGTGATCGGAGTAATAGCACTTGCATGTTGCGATACCAAATTAGCTTGATATTCGGACCAAGATGCGCTCGGTTGTTTTAATTTATCTATAATCCCTTCGTCAAAGTAATTATTCTTCGATTCCCAAAGGCTTAACAATTTATTAAGCTTGTTAAGTTGCTCTTCGGATGCAGCTAATGAAGTATTACAGAACATGGGAACAACAACACTTTCCATTGCCTTCCGAAGATCCATAGATTTTTTTCTAGCACTAAGAAATGTTATATGTTGCACACACAAACATACATACATACATACACACACACACACAAACACACACAGGCATACCCCACACACGCACGTACACACACGCGCACATAGTGTGTGTGTGTGTGTGTGTGTGTGTGTGTGTGTGTGTGTATGTATGTATGTATGTATGTATGTATGTATGTATGTATGTATGTATGTATGTATGTATGTATGTATGTATGTATGTATGTATGTATGTATGTATATATATGTATATATATATATATATACATATATATATATGTATATGTATATATATATATATGTATATATACATATATATATATACATATAATTATAGAAATATTATACATTCGATATATTAAACAATTTCGCAATCAAATAAAGACCTCTATTTAATCTTAATGATACACCTAATATTATTAATTAATTATCAAACACAAAGAGGGAGGACGGACAAAATATAAATAATATCTAATATTAATGAATACTAGTCATTTAGTAAAATATAATATAAATAACAGATTCGTATTCTTAAAAAAATCATTCGTATACTCACCAATGATGCAGGACATCGTTTACCAAATATATAATATGAAGCTTATGACTAAACGTAGATCCTTGGATAACTCTGAAATAGAAAAGTACCGTGTAAGAATATATTTTCAAATTGAAAGTTATGATTTAATGAAAATTCTACAATACTTTTTCAATAAATGGTCGGCAACTACTTGATTGCTTTGTGGTGTTACAGAATTTTGAAGGATCCAAGCTTTTCCCGCGCTTATGCTATCTTTCGTGCAGCTATCAATAATAGGTTGCAGAACTGTATCAAATGCGGTAAGATCTGTGTTTGTGCTTTGTGCACTATTTTGCAGAGCCGTTTCCTGAGCTTGTCTGACAGCATCCTCTACTCTGCCTTGTTGTTGCGCCATCAATGCAGCATGTTGGGCAGCAAGATTTTGTTCCGATTGTCTAACTTGTTCCTGCAGAGTCGTCTGTTGCGACTGAAGGTTGGCCAGTTCTGTTTGAAGCCATGCTGGTGGGCCACCGATGTTAACAGCTGGTGTCACTCCACCCATGGGTGGGTTTACACCTCCCATGCCAGATGGTACCGATCCAATTGGTGGTCCAGTATTTGTTGGTCCTCCAATTTGTCCAGGTACTCCTGGTATCACCGTACCAGCCGAATTTCCCACGGGCCCTATTCCAACCACTGGATTTAATCCATTGTTCTGAGTATTTAGGCCAGACGTTAGATTGACGTTATTCAGTGGCTGCGTGGCGGTAGCGGCTGTTTGCTGCTGCTGCGAAACGTTTAAACGTGGGTCTGCATTTTGCATTGGATTTATTCCTTTTTGCTTTAAAACTGTAAACGAATGACGGTGGATTATTGTAAGATGTTTGATTTCTTCAATTGTTATTGAAAAAGTATACAAATAGTCCAATTTCTGTTGTGTTTTATTTTTTATCAGTGCATAATAAAATTCTTGGTAGTTATTAGAGAAGTATATCAGAAAATGCGGTAAGTCTTTTGGGAGCACTATATTCTTTCCCTGTTTTATATTTCTATACTACTAGCGTTTTACAGGGTATATTATGGGGAATGGATATGTCCCATATAGATTTAAGTGATACACTGACAATATACTCTGTATCAGATAAGCTCCAGTAAGAATCTTAAAGCTACGTCTTCTCAAAATCACCATTGTCGAGGAATACAAGATGTCTTTAGCAAAAGTGTTCTGCTTAACAAATAGCAATCCCAAAATCTTGATACGAAGTTCTCACATTTGGTGATAAATACTTTTGTACGATGAATTCAGAAATTTCCTTTCACCCGTATCTCTTTTATAATTATAATTATTACTATTATTATTATTATTATTATTATTATTATTATTATTATTATTATTATTATTATTATTATTATTATTATTATTACTATTATTATTACTTTTATTATTATTATTGTTATTATTATTATTGTTATTATTATTATTATTATTATTATTATTATTATTATTATTATTATTATTATTATTATTATTATTATTATTGCTATTATCTATTATTTTACTTTATTTTATTCTATTTTTTTTGTCAAAGTCATTCCTTGTTCGTTGAATAAAGCATGGCCTTTATGCTTCTCAATTGTTGTAGCTGTTAAGGGGCTGTATCCCACTTACTGGCTTGCTCTGTAGTCACTTTGTACTGATAGTAGTTGAAGTGCTCCCCGCCAAACAGGAAACCAAACTTAGGGTTGTCCTTCTGCTTATTTTTGGTCATCTGCTCGAACTCGGGTCCATTGCGGGCAACAAACTGTGCCAGTTTGTCAATGATGTTCCGTAATTCTGTATCTACGCGTTATACGAAAAGAAAAACGATTAGAAATATCGATTAATGCTTAATGTAAGATCCACTAAAAAGAAACAAAAGGAACGTATTTATAAATATAAAAGAATATTGTTTAAATATGACCCTCTCCTAAAATATGCCCATTGTAACCTGAAAATTATGAACTGCTGATATTTAATATCACGTAACGGTGACACATTACACACCGATCTACGGCTTTGAGCAAATAAAATGCCAAGACGATTAATCATAAATATTTTTCGATTAATACGAAAGCGAAGTATAAATTGTGCTTTCTTCTATGCTGGAAAGTGCGAGATCGCGCGCCACAGGCTTGACTTTCCGTCGAGCCTAATACAATTTGTAATTACCTGCGGGTGCTTGGTCCATTATCGCGACTTCTTTCGAGTACTTTCACAGTTAAATAACGATTGTACGTTTTATAAAATTGGACCTTCTCTTTTGTATGATCGGAATACGGCTCCGAAAAACATTATCTTCTTTATAACCAACACAAGACGCTAGACGTCGCCATCATTAACCGATAGTTTCTTGATTGGCTACGAGTGGCGCTGCTCTAATAACTGGACATTTTACATGCGGAAGTTCCACCATTTTTATAAGTATCACATTTTCTGGTTGACATACCGCCCGGACTTTCTCAATCCTTCAATTATATTTCAAGTTAATCATATTATAGATTTTTACCGATTTACAAGAACAAATCGCTAAGGTTACGTATGAATTCTTTAAGTATTCATTCCATTTATCTCCCATAAACTAATCTCACGGTATTCCGATATGTCTTGTGCAAGAATAAAACTTTCCTTGCAACCTTGAACATAGTTTCAATTTCCCTGTAATAATATTTATTACTCGTAATTATTACGTATTTAGATTAGAATAGAGTTTTATATATTATCTAGACTTCGGAATAATGATTTTCTAACCTCATACATGCATACGTACATATTTGAGGTACCTAACCTAAATGCGTAAATAAAATTTCATACGGCAGTTGTATATGTTTTTGTATATATTGGCAATATAGTTCATTGGCACATAATATTTGAATAATAATGACAATTTGTATATTGTAGAAATGCCGGTAGCATCTGACATAAAGTCCAGTTGGGCGGATGAAGTTGAAGAAGAAGGAGGAGTACTGCCTCCGCCCTCCGAGGTTTATGAGAATGGATTTAAGATACTTACAGAATACAAATATAATCAAGATAATAAGAAGGTAAAAGTTGTGCGCACGTATAAAATAGAACGTCGTATAGTATCAAAAACTATAGCTGCAAGAAAGAATTGGGCCAAATTTGGAGACTCTGCCGACGACAGGCCAGGTCCCAATCCTGCTACTACAGTTGGTGCAGAAGATGTCTTTATGCAGTTTATATCTAGTAAAGAAGAAGAAAATAAAGTAGAAGAAGATACTCTCGATAAATTGAAAAATATGGGCGACAAAGGTGTTGTTAAATGTCGTAATTGTAACGGAGATCATTGGACGTCAAAGTGTCCATACAAAGATACCGTACTTGCCGGTGGTACGTATGTTTAAAGGGACCTTTTATAGATTCCAAAAGGATAGATTTCAAACTATAAGTATTATTATTTTTAGGAAAAGTTCCGGATGATAAGAAGCCCCTTGTCAACCCAGCTGTTCCTGGTGCAGCAATAGCTGAATTGAAACCGCAAGGAAGTAAATATGTACCGCCGAGTATGCGAGATGGTGGCAATAAGCGTGGCGATGCGATGCAAATGCAACGCAGGGATGACACCACAGCCATTCGTATTTCTAATTTGTCCCAAAGTACTACGGATGCAGATTTAGATGAACTTGTTAAACCTTTTGGAACAGTTGTAAAACAGTATTTAGCAAAGGAGAAACAAACTACTTTATGCAAAGGATTCGCATATGTCCATTTCAAATATAGAGCAGAGGCCGCCAAAGCAATTGCTACTCTTGACGGTTATGGATACGATCATCTTATTTTAAGCGTAGAATGGTCCAAACCGCAACAACAAAATAATTAATTCAATTTGATATGTAACGATAAGAGAAACATGACCTATATTTACAGCAAAACGCTGGACTTAATGGGCGTTTCCAAGTTGTGAGGCCCAAGAACAGAAGTAGTGAATATTTTTATGGTATATCGTATTTTCCACTTTTACATTCGATATCTCCAAATGATATAATACATAGTGAAATTAATTTGTAATCTTACAAATTGAAGTTTAATAAGGTAAAAAATTATGTTGTTCCTTCTTTATTTTACACAGACGCTTGTCACGGATCTTTTTCAATTCGCAAGGTTCAAGTTATTTTTTCTGAAAACATCATGTTTTTCTTTCTTTTCTTTTTTTTTCTTTTAACTGTTTTATAATTAAAATTGATTTTAAATAGAGAATATGTACACACGGGTCTTGACCATTGCTATACATGTAATTAAAGATCATTTAACAGCCCAATTATATTGGCACTTTGTAATGTAGCAGGAGATACATTTGAGATACCTATCCTCTTATTCATTGTCCAATTTAATTCCAAGTGAGCTCGCTTACAATGTACTTTTAATTTATTGCACATTGTATTGTTAAATAATTAGGTCTTCTCATGAAGTATCTGTTTATGAATCTGTTTATGAAATTAATAGGAGACTTAATTGTATTCACTTGGTCATCTGCGTGTCTTTCTTTTTGTTCATTTTTTATTTTTATTTTTATTTTTTTTGTTTTTTCTTTTCTTCCTTTTTACGCCCTCATATTTAAAAGTTTATACTCAACATATGCATACGTATACTTGTCTATTTGAATAGTAAAAGAAAATAATACATCATTATAATAAATATAATTATTGAATATCTAACTGTTAAAATGCTACATTGCGGTGCTATAGATACGTCGTAAAAAGAAAATTGAAGGATAAAAAATAAATGCTAATGCATAGACATATATACAAAAATAGTGTGATAATATAAAAACCAAGGACATATATTTTTCTTATTGGTTGTGCGATATAACTATGATTAATACTAGATAGTCTAAGTACTTTGAGACGGTAACTGTAGTTAACAATCGTATGGTTCTCTAATGAGCTTAGTTACCATTAAAAAGGAAAGTACCAACGGAACGTATTGTCGTTGTTTGACTAATACGAAGGAATATCTTTAAGACAATTAATCTTACATTTTTTTTTCTCAGCAGAAACTTTAACAGTCTCGCGTTACTCTCTAATATCAAAGGAAGTTAATCCCATAAAAGTGATATATCGATTTTCATAAATTGTTACAAAATAAAACCATATTTCATTCCAATACATATATTCCCTTATTAATATTGGATAATGAAGATTAATGAAGATTATTAACGATAAACTAACGATAGAAAATTTAATACAACCTACCGCGCGCGCGTGTGCAACAATTGCTTCGTCATTTATGTGTAAATGTAAAATTTAACGAAAAAATAATTATTAACGGTGCTTGTAGCTAGACGATATCTACCATTCACTTTTATTTACATAACACGTAGCATAAACGAGATATAGTTTTTCTTTTCTTTTTTTTTTTCTTTTTTCTTTTTTTTTTCCTTTTTTTTTTTCTTTTTTTTTCATTTTTCTTTTTTTTTTTTTCTAATATATAAAAAGGCAATAGTCGTTGGCAAATGTAGCGTTTGAAACACCAAATTTATCTATAAACACATAAAATTCTAATCGATTATAATCTAATCAATTAGAAATCATTTGACCATTGCCAGAAACACCAATAGATAATCTTATATATTCATTTTCAAGTTTAGACGTTTAACCACATTAAAAAAAAAAAAAAAAAAAAAAAAAAACTTTACGAAACATCGTCGTTATTGGTATAAAGCATCTTTAAAGCGGACCTTCGCGTCTTTTAAGGACGCATATTGGAGGTCTGCTAAATCAACGATGTACCATAGATAACTACGCATGTACATCGAAAACACGTCGTTTGTCGTTGGATTCATTGTGACTAAGGTAATAAGATAAGGTATTTGTCGATCGACGCGGTCTACCAAACAGAACATTTCTTTTCGGGATTCATCTTGGAACCAACCGGGCAATTGAAGTCTTTCGAAAATTCATCCATATTCGAGAACGGACCCAAAACACGAAATTCGCCAGGACTATGGAATCCCGTCGTGATACGAAGCTTCATGGTCTCGGGCCGATATTTGCTGCACCAAGTATTGGCAGCGCTTATCCAAAACATTTGTTCGGGCGTATAGAAAAGTCCTGGTAATTTCTGTTCAGGATGATTTCGCTTAACCCATTCTTTGTATGCAAAGTAGGCCTCCTTGATGCCACCATTGTCTGCGATATTCTCACCTTGCGTATTAATCCCATTTAACTATAAGCAAGAGAGCACGTTAATGCGATAGCAGGCTCGGCAGAAGAATGAAACAATAAAGTCTGAATAAGGCCTCGATGAATAACACGTGAGAGGGAGAAATTTTCTTACTTTCAAACCGACTTCCTCGACGGTATAATTTCCATACTGTTGAACGATGCACTCTGCTCTTTCCAGATAATTTTCTTTGGTCTCTGGCGCCCACCAATCGACGAGATTTCCTTCCTTATCGAATTGTCTGCCCTGATCGTCGAAACCGTGCGTAATTTCGTGACCAATGACAAATCCGATAGCACCATAATTCATGTATCGTGGCCGATCATTGTTAAAGAAAGCTCCTTGAAGAATTCCAGCTGGGAATTCTGCGTATACGTTTGAAAAGATTATATCAGTCGTGCGACTTTTATTCAATGTGATAAATGAGAGATCCTTAAGGTAATAAGAATAACGTACGAATACTGTTTTCTATTGACGAATAAAACGCATTTACGATCGCTGGTTTCCCATGAGCTCTCCAGTCACTCTTGTTAACTGGTTTTCTAAGTCTGCTAAAAGAATATTCTATTCCGAAATGGGTTAGGTTTAAAATACTCTCGAGATAATTCCCTTCGGTCAGTTCGAGTTTTTCGTAAAATTCCTCGAGCTTCTTGTCGTCCAACAATTCGTCAGGATAAGCAATGTGACTGGACATCGATGCCGCTTTGTCTAGTGCACTCTCTTTAGTTTCTTCGTCCATCCAATCAACCTAAAAGGAGTCCGCGGCGAAATAATAATAATGTATTATTATTATTATTATCATTCAAAGTTATTACGATATTATTTTACCTTCTTCAAAATTTTAGTAAATTCTTCCCTAATGTCGGCAACCATTTCAAGGGCATTTTTCTTAGCGTCCTCCTTGAAATATTTCCTAACATACATCGCGCCAACGCTTATGGATAAACTTGCGGAAACTATGTCGACGCACTCCTTCCATCTGGCCTCTCTCTCAGTTTTACCGCTTAAAGCCGTCGAATATTGAAGCTGCCTCTTTCTGATGTCCTCCGTAAGATAGCTGACCGATGCGGCAGCCGCCCTCCACATGACATAATTTGCTTGTACCCTTTTCGGTGTCTCACTCAAAAGTTGTTCCAAACTTTTTATATAGCTTGGCACACTGACGATCACCACCTCGTTTTCCTCAATCTGAACGGTCGGTGCCAATAGCGTGTTAAAATATTCCATCCATGGTATGCTCGGAAATTTATTTGATAATTCCTTTATGGTCATTGGATTGTATAATAACGTGGCGTTACGTCGTTTTTCATTTGGCAACGATATCTGTTCGAAGGAAAAGGATAAATATCGAAATGATATATGTGGCGTAAAATGAAAGAACCGCGTAAAACTTACATTAGCGAGTTTCATTTCGAAATCCAGAGAATCTCTGAGTTCCGTTTTGGCTCTACCCTTGTCGGCTCCAAGAATTACAGCTATATCGACCATGTAACTGTAATAAGCTTGGACGATTTTATCAGTGAAGCCCTTGGATAAGTACTCGCGTGACAAACCGAGCGACGCTTGATCTAGCTGCAAGCAAGCATATGAACGTTAGAATGTTAGTTGTTGCTTGATCAAACTAGGATTAAACAAGGATAGAATTAATCGTACGACTTACGTCGATAATACGTATCGTGCTGTTCTTCAAGTCAACGCCAATGCTAAAGTCTATGAAGTAGTCGACAGAATAACCCTTTGTTCGGAATTTATATACCGAGTCCTTCCAATTAAAATTCTCTTCTTTCCAGGTGTCACCTTCTAGTACAGGCCAACCGCCTAATACTTGCAAAATATTAAGCAACGGTTCTAAACCTTTCTCTTCGATAGCCTCTAAAAAGAAAGAAGAAAAAAAAACGATACATGTTTCGGATTTGGATAGGCAGGATGATTTTTTAAACAAATTTCGTAATAAGAGCCGTATTACTTACTGTTATTCATACAAGTTTTATAAAAGATCTTGGCCAATGTGAACGGGCGTGGTTCATTCGACGGACTCTTCTCCTCGATACTCGTTCTAAGTTGTTGCTGAAGATTATCGCTGATAACGCTAAATGTATTTACGCTAGTTTTGTCGTCCGGAATGATGGTTGACTTGAGAAAACCACCGCAGGCGAACTTGTAAAAGTCGTCGCAGGGCTCAACATCGGGATCCATATTCTCCAATACTTTGGACGCTTTATTTATAAACGTTTAGGAGAGTCAATGCGATCAAGCATTCTTTTTTTAATGAAAAAAATCTTTCTTTTACATCTTTATCAAAACTCACCCGTGTGAACGCATCCTGGAGAGAAGCATATGTTTTCTTTCTCCGATGGTTGACGATCGATGGTGGTGGCGGCGGCGGTATCTTTGATTACTTTTAGAGCTTCCGCTGTGGACGGTAGTTGCTCTGAATTAACGGCAACTTATGGCGCGTGCAGATGTTGTACGTGCAGATGCGGATTGGCGAGTGCAAAAAATTATATGCAACATTACATGATATTACTGCAAAGCTATTCTAAAGCTATTCCCATCTCTATAAACGTGAACGATCGGGAATAGAAACGAAAAATAGTAAAGTATGTATTGCAATGATGTATTAATGTTTCCCAATGTTTCTCTATCGACATCTCGTTGATGAATTCAAGTAGCCGATACAAAGCAGAATGATTCCAATTCTTCACTTTCTTAGCTTCAAAGATAAATATTCTGAGCGTGAACGCGTTGCGCGTATTTAATTGTTAAAGCGAAAAAATATACATTTGCGAAAAGAGATAACGCTTGTTGATAAATTTCTTGCGTCGAAACTTATTGTACTTAATGGTGAACGTGCTACCTAGCTACGGTTTCGCGAAAGACGAAGAGATCGCGATTGATCTCTATTTAATGCCAATTCAACGCCTAATCGATATGAAATAATTGCGTTCGACATAGATTATCGAACGGTTTTACAAGTGACAAAATGAGCGATAAACAAAGCAAGATCAACCAGCTCAAATGAAAGAGATATCGTTGCGATCTATTCCTCCATGCTTGTTGACTATCGTAGAATAATTGCGTTAATAAAAGCGAACGCAGTTAATAGACGCGCTTCGTCCTTCATATAATATTATACCTGTATGCTTGTTCTTGTACTTTTACGATGCCAAATCAAAATCAAATGCTCTAGTCGTTTCGCGATTTTATCCAACGTAATGATTCATTAGGAGCATCGAAACTTTTTCTTTCGTCTCTTTTTCTCTTTTCTTCAATCTTTCGAAATCTTTTCGATGTCGTAGGAAACGTCGAACAACCAAAAATATCACGGTCTACGGATGTTAATGTAAATTAACTCAAATATTTTAAAACACTCTACTGCGTTATCGCCTTCAATGCTTATGTATTTTATAGTTTTACGCGATTACACCGACCGTGGTTAGTGACTAACTTTCAAAACACTATTGATTCTGACGCGATTCCTGTAATCGACGATTCCAAAAATATACTGATATGCGTCAGAATCAGCAGAATGGAATTAATATATTTCTCTCTTTTTTTTTTCTTTTTTTTTTCTTTCTTTCTTTTCTTCTTTCTTTCTTTCTTTCTTTCTTTCTTCTTTATTTATTTTTCAATCATTCGATCGCACGCAATCCATTCCGTTCTCCGTTGCGCCGAATGAACAGCACGATTTGTAATCGCATAGACAATTCTTTCAACAATATTTATCAAGAGCTTAATTATTATTAATTGAGAATTGGATTAGTAATCGGGCGTGTAATGGAGAAGCGCATTGTAGAAAAAGATAGCAAATAACATATCTTACCGTTCGACGATTGCTCGCAAGATGCTGCATTCGCGGCCAATACACCGAGCGCGACGGCCAGGGCGATGCATAAGAGGACACCGGACACTGCGATTACCGTTAATCCACGTTCCAAAGCCGATCGTCTCTTCCACCATGTTGGGTTTCTGGAAACGCAGACGAAGGTAAAAAACAATCCGTTCGTACGTTTCCTATGGACGTTTATCATATATACATTTGTTTTATGACGATTCATTTGGTAATAGAAGTGTACGAGGAGGTTCGGAATTGCAATGAATCGTAATTTACAATCGATCGTACAACGAATTCGCGATGCTATTCCTATCGACCTGGTAAAATTATGAATTGTCTTGGTCGTGATTGAAATTTCTTCCTATTCAAACTGTTTGTCGTTACGTAAACGAAAGAAAACTGACACGATAAATGATTTGGACATTTCTTTCTTTTACTCCCCAAACGTCCGTTCATTCTTTACGATTGAATAATTTCTTGTCGCAAGCGACTGGTATCCGATAATGTTTTTCGTTAGAGTTCGATTAAGCGTGTCTCTATCGGATTAGAAAGGAAGAAAGGATGGTTTTTGCGATTTGCCAATTTTATCGACGAGATCGATCGAAGGACTTGAAAGCGAGTCCGATATACACACACGCACGCATATATGTGTATGTGCGCGCGCGCATGTGTGTATGTGTGTGTGTGTGTGTGTGTGTGTGTGTGTGTGTGTGTGTGTACGTATCCAAAGCGATAAAGACGAACCATGTGTCGTTCGAAATAGTCGAAGAATAATAAATCGGCGTTAAGGAACGCACCGAGAAATATCTTCGGCGCGAGAATTAAACGCAGGGGAAAACTCGTCCTTTTTCCGCGCTCGAGGTAATTGCGATAAAGCTCATAAGTACTTACTCAGTTGGAATATCGCAATCGCTTCGCACGTTCTTTTGTATCGTTATCGCCGACGTATGGGCTAGTCATTTCGCGATAGTGAAAAGGGAGTATAGGAACACTTTAACATTAAGCCGAGAATATTTCTCTATATTTGTCGATGGCACTTTCGATTTCTCTTTCTGAGAAAAAGTTTCATTATAATAATTAATATGCGATAATGATAATTAATAATATTGTAACGGCGCAAATGAAACATCGTAAATGGAGAATAAGTAAAAACAAAATAAGGAGAGTTCTTTAGAACGAAAAATAAAATGCATCTTGTTGTATCCAAGGTTGTTGTATCCAAGCTTTCAGGTCAGTTTATGGCCTGAAATGGCCGTTAAGTGATTCGCGTCATGCACGCACATGAATATACATATCCTACTTGAATAACTTAAAGATATAATATCTTGTAGGTGTAGGTACTACTTGGGCAAATGCCGAGCAACGCAACAGAGTTTCATCTACGGGACGATGCAAGTGTAATGACCTGTTTGGTGCGTTGCACAATGCCACGAGATTTCGGACGCACATATGTACGTCCTATACCTGTGTATATATTTTTTATTGCATTGCAAAAGCAAGTATACGGGCGAACATTGATGATTTCAGGAGTATACGTTATCATAGTATACAACGTTATCAACGTATACAGGGAATATTATATTAGTGGCGAAGGATAATAAAGATATATATAATTTAGGTACAATGCCTGCTTCGTTAGAATTTATGGTAATATCATAGGTATTGAGCTGTAATAATGATCGAAATGTTATTGCCTTGAACGGCGTTTAATTCAACGTTCGTTTGAGAGAGCTCGTACGGATATATCGGCCACGCCACGGTTGAATAATTGCGAGAAAGTCCCGGTGTTACTTTATTTACCGATCGCTGGAAGTTTAAGAAAGACGACGGGAAAAGCTTACAATTAGATTTCTTTTGACGCTTGATCGACATCGATTTGCAATAGTCGTAAAAACGTCGTAAGAATCGTAAAAATCATAAGAATGCAACAGGTTTCTCGTCCTCGGCGTGAATAAGTTTACATATATTTATGTAGAATATGTGTAGGAATTAGAAGGAGGAAAATTGTAAGGCCTATCCTTCAAATTATAATTAAAAACAATTTCTTCTCTTTCATCATAAATTCTTCACCATGCTCGATGAACGAACAGTCATATTTCCATAAAAGATTACATTAGATAATGATTTGAAAATTTTCATCGTTTTACGAGGAACGAGGTTCATCGACGAAGATACGGTTGTCGCATCAGTTTTGCCAGAATATCAAAATTAGGTTCGCGTTCGATCTCGAATTTGTCGGTCCAGTGATCAGTCAATCGAGTCTACGCTCATGAAATCGCAAACGAGATCGATCCAACGAGAAACGAGTATCGATAATTATGAATTTATAACGATTTTAACGCGGCTAGATATAATGCGAGCGTGAATAATAAATTAGCTAACGGTTAAATTGATCCTGAATCTCGATAAATATCGATCCCAAAGTCTTCGATCTTAGATATAATATCTATGTGTATCAGCCTCGCAATAGAAAGCTATTGTTGGTATATATCGTTGCCTTTATGTCGTTGCTATATATATATATTGTGTTTGTAATCGAGTCTCGTTCGACGTCGAGACGGTAACCTTTTGATAGAACGACTCGACTGGTAGCGTCTCGAATCGAACGGTCGATCGTTTAACATACTTTTCATCAAAAAAAAAAAAAAAAAAGAAAAAAAAAAACAAACAAAGAGCGACGAACCGACCGACCAACCGACCGCGTCAGCACATCGAGTATATACGCTAAAAAAGTATATATATTAATCCGAAAAAGAACGAGTGTTATCATCTTGGTCGAACATACTACCTTCGGACGGTACTTTCATCTTTCATCTTTCGTTTCGTTTCGTTTCGTTTCGTTTCGTTTCGTTTCGTTTCGTTTCATTTCCTTCTTTTTCTTCATCTTCAAACAATGTCCTTCAACGAAATCTTTCGTCTTCCTCTTCTTGATTCTCATCTTTTACCTTTTCCTCCTTCTCTCAATCTCTTTTATAATTTCTTACGCGACATACAGTGGGTAAGTGATAATAGTAGATTTTTTCATTTCCGCAAATTACAAGATCGTGGAAGACTCCTTTAAATGGAATTAATTTGCTCACTTGAATTTTATATGGCAATTTATTAAATCATGTTCTCCCGCGATTTGCCAATTACTATCAAGGTCGATAATATTTCGTCCCGACGTGACTTTTTTCACGATTTTCAAATGAAATTTTTCCTTTGACTCGCTTTTCCTTCGATTCGACATAGAATGCAAGGTATAAGCTACGTAAGAAAGGCAAGAGACCTCGTGGCTCGAAATTTATTCCGAACTCTAGGCCAGTTACTCGACGAGAGGCAAATGCGATTCGAGTACAAACGATTCGAAAGGTGCGCGGAATACGAATTCGTTCTCGGCTGCTTCGCGAGTCTAAAAGTTGAGGTATGTATATACCTGCGGAGAGAAACGGCGTATAATGGTAGTTCCCTCTCCATTCGGTCAAATTTCTCTTACAATATGTGTCTCATGCTATCCCTTCTCGGTCTTATTCTAGAACGATATATGTTTATAAATATCAGTGTACGTTCAGTAATTTTGTATGGAGAGGAAGCCAGCCGTTCTATTCGATACGTCTACAGGTATACGTACGAATCGACGGGAAACACACACATATACACGTGCGCACGCGTGTGCGCGCACGATCGAGTCTGTTATAAGCATACAAAATTTCAAGGTATCTCTTTGAAATACGTACTTACTTACAAACGATGGCATACTTTTAATCGACGTAAATAAACGACGTTATGTATCTTACATTGATTGGTTCGCAAAATACAGGATCGTATATGCTTGCTTCTCGACAGGCGGAAACGTCGTTTCCTGTAGAAAGTAAGACTCTGCTTATGGAATCATGAAAGAAAAGAACCGATAAGGAGAGAATATTCGTTCCTATTGAACCGATCGTGCACGATCTCTTGGGAAGCTCGAAATTGTAGAAACGGACTGTTAACATGAATCTGAGAAAAAGAGAATAGTCGGGACTCGTAATACGAGGAAACGAATAAACTCGTGGCCGATATGGCCACCGTCAGATTTATCGTACGAAGATGATAAGAGTGAGAGATGTCGCGATACACTGATCGTTCGCTTTATTAGCTACGTTGCCAAAGAAAATATTTTTAAAATCGACTTGCGTAACGTTCCCTTGAGCAAGAATAATCGCAAAGGCGTGTCTGCCAATGGTCGTCGAGATGTTAGAGATATGGTAACTCGTATCTTGAATAATTATTGAAAAACGATTATAATTTCATTACTATTATCGGAACCATGTTTTATTCGTCGTACCTATGAGTTATCTTCTTTTACAAGTGCAAAGACTTGTGAACAAGAGGAAAAGTAATACTCGAGGAGAGTGGCTCTTATACAAAATCGTGTCTCGCGTGCTTTTCTTTTCGTCCGATATAATAATGCACGAAGCTTCCGCTTATTTTTCTCTTACTTCCTCCTTCGCTTCTTCCTTCTTTCCTTCTCGATATATGTACATGCACATATATATATATATATATATATATATATATGTATATATATATACATGTATATATATTATATGTATATATATATATATATATATATATATATATATATATACGCATCAATGTGCACCTAGCAAACATGAGATTATGCAATCCCGACAAGGCGATGCGATATCGCGGAAATTATCGAATGCAACGTCTGCGTAGCTCTTTTCTAGCACCTTCTCTTGCGGAACCACGATATTGTGAGGTTTCGCAAGAAATATACGTAGGACACGCGAGTACTCCTAACCGAGCTCGAGGACAAAAGCACGTTTCCGTGCTAACGCTCCAACGATCCTATCACGTGGATAGAATATCCTTAGTTGCATCACACATAATTACTAATCAAATGTATAAATGGAAATAATGCGTTTTTCCGAGCCAACTGATTTTTCGTACCCTATTTAATTTAAAGATAACTACTATGTAATATTTATCTAATGGATAATATTCGGAATATCGCGTATGACTACGTTCGTTGTAACTGCTGTTAAACGATATGCATAACGTCGTAACGCCGTAACGTCGTAACGCCGTAACGTCGTAACGCCGTAACATCGTAACGCCGTAACGCCGTAACGTCGTAACATCGTTACGAGGAGTCACCGGTAATTAATTCAAGTGGATATGACCCGTACGATAGAGGAGAGGTACGATTAAACGAATCCCGGGCCATGAGATTTATCTCAGCGCGATTCAAAAGTAACCATAAGTTAATCGTAAAATGTGCCTTTTAATCATTAACGGCGTGATCCTTTACTTGTCAATTTCTATTACCACCTTCTCGTTTTTCTCACCGGCAAACGCGTCCTATCTCATCCAGCAACGAATCGATTTATTGCAACGTCGATTGAAACGAGAATCCACTCTCATCCGAAATTACTCGGGGAAGATAAATCAATTTCGATAATTGCGCGAGATACGAGATCATTTATCGAACGGCTCGTTGGCCGCTCGTTATCGCAGAATTTATATGAGAGGACATTTTGTTCTTTTATGTCTTCCTCGGCTCTTTCTGTTTTTTTTCTTTTTTCTTTTTTTCAACGCATCAAAGCTTACGGTATTTCCAGATTTCCTTTCGCATCCGTGATATAGGTATGCACGGATGCCATTACGATTTTACCATATACATATTCATTTCGATTTACAATTAGCCGGTATCTACTATGTACTTACGTCTATAGGGGCAGCATGAAAATCTTTATGTAATAGATTAATCGAAGGAAAGTAGTTTTTAAAGAAAATATCGTTGTATCCGACATATATTCGTCACGCATATCGTTTGTTGTTTTACGAGATGCATCGTAATTGCTTTTCAAACAAAAGAAGAACTCGGCGAACCTTGGAAAAGGAATTTAAACGTGCTTACGACTTATAGCGTTATATTCATCTCTTTTGAAGATAATATTATTGTTGGCGATATTACGAAAATGTCGCCGATTATTTCGGCTATAGAAAATGGTTTCGTTTCATCGGGCGAGATCAAACTTTAATGCAAGACTATCACGAAGAATATCGAAGTCTAATAGCTTCATAGGAAATAATCTCGTTCTGTCGGCTTATTGTTATAACGCTTTGCGACTTGGTAGACATTTGTAAACTTGCACCATGAACGGCAATGAGTGTCTGGAGGATAAACGGGATCGTGGAACTTTCACTACGCTCGCGACTCGACCTTTAGCAGGCTTTGGAAATTTCAAGTGTTTACGAGCGAGCATTGAGTGTCGTTCTCTTTTCAACGATACGTGCGCTTTGTTTCATCGAAAATTAGATAAAGGTAATGATCTAAATTTAGGTTTAAACGAAATCCTTGAAAAATCCGAACTTCTTATTCGTTCATTTTCATTCATACCTTTTATTGTACCTTTATTATATAACTTTTTAGGTATATTGCGAGGTACGAAATACGATTAAAGATTGTATCGCGAATCTATTATCCGTAATATATATATATATACATATATATATATATATATATATATATATATATATATATATATGTATATATATGATACGCGAAGAGAAAGACAAATGTAACTTGCTAACTGAATTTCGATCTTTACGTGCTATACCATATCGTCTTATTTCGTTCCACTTTGGCGCAAAGTGCGTTTAACATGCAGCTCTATTGTTAGTAAGACCTCGATAATTGAATCGATCAACGTGTACGTTCACGTGCGTGCGCGCGCGTGCTTTAATATTCTTTGAAAGAATTTCCATCCATTCTTTCGTTGTAGTCCCAAGAGAATTAATGATCTACGATACGACGAAATAGTCAACTTTTTGGTATATTTTAATCGAGCTTAAAGGCGAAATTAAAGCGATAATTGCATTTTTAAAATCAAAGGATAAAAGAAAAGTTCTCGAGCGTAACATCGATGCCTGGCCGACGTGTTTTATTATCGTCAGAATCCTGACGTGCATTGAAATCACGAGATTTCTACTTTTATCGCTCGTTTATTCATTCGAATTCGTAAGGCAAGATAATTTATGTGAGAGAAAACAAGATCTCTAAACGAAGCGACGTGATAATATGGACCAGACATATGTACGATCATCTTGATCGTCGTGAAGACCCACGTGAGACCGATTTCTTTCGAGATATAATTGTTGCCGAACGAAATTGAAGATAAGATCTTCTAATTGCGATGTAGTAGCGATAAGGCAAAGCTTGACGAGGGCCAACAGAGTCTTTAGTTTCGAAATTTACAGTTCGATTTCTCGTCGATGATGGCTGTACGGTTATTCGAATAATAATTATTCCTCAAGCTGCACGTTTTATTCTTTTCAAGGTTTCTGCGATATCTCGAGAAATAGGAAAAATTACGATAGGATAAAACGACTGAAATGATAGAATTAGTTGTAAAGAAAAAAGATACTCTGTAGATTCGAATTGTTGAAAGAACAACAATCTTGGTTAAACTTTCATCTTCCGCGATATACTTTTTATTCTCGATCGAACTTGACTGGTTTCACCGATTGACCGATCGACCGATCGGCGGCTTTTTACCGGCGTTACGTAAAGTATCGGTAGACCTATCTAGCCGATAATAGCGGTACGCGCGGGTTTCTACTATACACAGGCGGGAACGGTCCCTCGTAAAAATCAACCGGGAAGAAAAGAAACATAAAACTCGATACGGGAAAGCTGCATCTTACGATCGAGCAACTCGCGTTGCTCTCTCCCCCTCCCCCACTCTCTCTCTCTCTCTCTCTCTCTCTCTCTCTCTCTCTCTCTCTCTCTGTATAAATCGCGTAAAAATCGCATGCTGCGCGCTTGTAGTAAAAACGATGTCTTACGGCTTCTTCGTTTACGCGATTGAAAAAAATATGATTCCTGTATCTGTTGATTTAAACGTTTATTTGATGAGTTTTATCGCATTTTAGTCATAGGCCTCTTCGATTTATTAATCGAATCGAATTCAATTTCGTTAGACACTGGATCTAATCTTAGAGAGTAAAACAACAATATTTATTTGAACTGTAGAATCTTTTAGCCTACTGCCAGCTATCACTTCTCTTCCAAGTTCTTAACGAAATAACTAAACGTTTCTCTTGATTACGCATGATAAAGGAGAAGAAATATTGCAGTTAAATCTAAAACTCACTTAATGACGGTTTGCTTCATACTGTTTGTCATGTTGACGTTATTACTCTGCCCCAGTCTCGATTCTTTCTCAAATCTTTGTGTAATTCTTGTTTTCTTCACTCGCTCGCTCGCTCGCCTATCCTCTTTTCTCACTAGCACATGATAAACACACACTAAAAAGTTTGTACTTAATTTTTTTGTTTTGTTTACAATGTCATTGGGTTAGATAGAAAATTTTCCCATCCACCTGTCTCCCTTCCTTCCGAGGTTATCCTACGAAAGGATGGATCTCTTCTCTTTCTCTTCTCTTTTTCTCTCTTTATCTTGCTCGAGTCCGAGTATATGCATATGTATGCGGAACGGTTTGGAGCGTGGCGCCGGACTGAACGGCCGCGCGCGTTTCTCCTCGTATTTAAACGCCCTCTCCCTACCTCACTGATTCTCTCTCAGTCACTCTCGTTCCTAGCGCCACGGAGTTTCGACGACTCTCCTTTTCTCTTATTTCTCCGTCCTCATCGTCGCTTTTCCATGTTGCTTTCGACGCGAAAAGGCGCGCTCGATCAAAATTACGCCAGACGTATTAATCCAGTATCGCTATCCTTCTCGCACATATCGATATCCTTTCTATCGATATATTCTTTGTACGCTTAAATCGAAACCCGACCATTTCGTTCGGTTAAACGTTTCACTCGGATTGACTTCGAATGGCTAAAACTTAGGCGGATTCATTGTATTTTCCATAAAGCAATCCTAATTTAGGAAACCTTTTTATGTTACCTTTAACGAAAACCAAATCGTTTTCTATTTGTTGAGTTAGAAGAAAAAAAAATATATTAAAAGTTTTTCCAAACTTATGACAAATACAACGATTATAGCCGATGGCAAAGAGTGATTATTTAATAAAAGTCTAGAAAGTCTACGTCGCAGCGCGAGCTCCAACAAAGATCGAACGTTCGAAGGCTTTACGAGAAAAGAGAGAAAACTGGTTTCGACCGGTTGCGTTACAGGATAGATTGACGACCATCCATAGAGAGAGAGAGAAGGAGAGAGAGAGAGAGAGAGAGAGAGAGATCCTTCGGTGGGTCTCATTAATTATCCATATGCGATTAACGAGTCGAACGGCTCTATCGAATGACTAGACGCTAGAAACGTCAATGCTTCTCCCTGAAACGTCCTTCTCTCTTCTTATTCTTCGTTTTAGTATGAAAAACTAACAATAAATTTGTAGGATGGTCAAATAGCGATCGTGACTCATGGTAATTTGCATAGAAAGAGATGTTTCTTGCTTGCTGATCGAAATAAGAAATAATCGCCGCTTCGTCCTTAATCGTCCTACCGAAGGGAAAGGATTTTATTTAAGTCGTGGCCCACCGATATTCGCGTTTTAATGTCGAATGAATAAATAGAAAAGCTTTGGACGTGCGTAAATTTGACCGAGTTTCAGGGAGTTTAGACAACACCACTGACATAGGGTTGTAAGTTTGGAGGTCCATTGTGTATAAAGTTCAAAACTACTGTCCTAGAAACAGCTTCGTAAGTGTTCCACTTAAATGTTCCGGGTAACTATGGTTACATTTAAAACTAAGACTGATCTACGCTCTTGCCGCGAATCTTTCTTATCGTCCGCGTTTCGCGTAATAATGCCGACCTCGCGGATGTCGCCAATTGTCCGAAAGTACGGATACATTTATGTAATTTTCTGCGCGTCGGTCGTAACAAAAACAAAAGTAAGCATTTGCTTTTTTACGAGTTTTCATTAATAACAAATACATTGGTTAATTGTTAAAAATTATTAACAATAAATTGACGTCAAATCAAGGCGATTGACAAACGTTTGAATATTTATAATCGACTACTAGTATAAGAGCGTGAGTATTTATCGAAAAACACGTTTGCTTAATTGCGAGAGATGGAGGGAGGTATGACGGGAGGAAGTACGACGCGCAACGGTTCATCTACAAAGACCTTGCGGTTTTACGATAGAAAGATTGCTTAAGAGGAAAATCATTCAGATCGTGTCGTTTCTGGCTCAGGTTTAAGAAAAAAGAATAAAAAAAGAAAAAAGGAAACAATATTTAAGACGAATTGCATCAATTTTACTTATTTTCTATTTCAAAGGCAAGAAACAAGAACGCGTTTCGAGATCTTAAACGTCCGGCAATCCGATATCCCCTATCGGGCTTCACCCGATTTTTTTTTTTCTTGTACGTCGAAACTTCGTATCAAAAGATACAGAACGCTTAGAATTGGTTGAACGTTAAAGATCAGAATGACTAAGGACAAACGGACATATTTCATTATCTCCTATTTCTAATTTATTTCGACTCATATCAGCGCACTACTGTCGATAAAAGTTTCTTCTTTTCCTTTTCCTTTGTCTCTTTATTACCGCTTCCATTTGCTCGATTACCGCTTAATGGCCATTGTATTATTTTAATAATTTATTTTTTCTTGCCTGCGAGGAAACCGTGATGTTTTACCTACACCTCCGATTCTTTCTAAAGTCGTTCTCATCTTGATCGATTGCAAGGTACCCAAAATCGATGGCATTTTATATAGACATATGTAGATATCATATCCATCTTCGGTCTGTCAAGTCGATAATTTAGGGGGAATACATTCGTGTCATCGTTTTTCTTTTTTCTTCCATTCGCACACACGACAATTCGTATGAAAAATATGAAAAATGAAATGCGACGAGGTTCCAAGAATTGCGAAGAGGTCGATGAACTCTGACGAATAGTATGTCGATTCTGACAAAGAAAAATCTCCGTTGGATTTATCTCAAAGGATTATCGAGTGACATTTGCGCGTAATCACGAAATTGGAAAAAGTTGAAACTTCATTGATCCTTTAACGAATAGGTATATAAAATCGCATAATTATAGAGAAACAATGTACATTGTACAAAAGACAAGAAATAGTTATCCGGTCGTTCTATTGGGTTGGCAACTAAGTGATTGCGGATTTGAAATAAGAAGGAAACGACAAAATCCGCAATCACTTCTTAGTTGCCAACTCAATAGATGAATTCATTTTATACGCTGTCTCTCTCTCTCTCTCTCTCTCTCTCTCTCTCTATCTCTATCTCTCTCTCTCTCTCTCTCTCTCTCTCTCTCTTCTCTCTCTCTCTCTCTCTCTCTCTCTCTCTCTCTCTCTCTCTCTCTCTCTCTTTCAATATGAGCATGTTACGAATAAATAAAAGCGTCGACGGGCTGTTTAAGATTAAGAGACCTTTAAGATTAAGAGAAGAATTTGCATTAGCAAAAGATCAAATGAAATATCTCGAAATAGCGATTATGCACTCGTCCACGACTAGTTTGAAGATGGCGCGCACCTATCTGAGTCATTATCTTACTAGGCAAGAATACTTATTTAGGACGTATATACGTGTGTACATATATACGCACGCAAGTATACGTATATATGAATAAAGCGCAATGTACATACGTTAGTATTCTAACAAATAAATTCGTCTCGTTATTCAAATGTTACGCGTTACACGTAAATGTATTATATTTCTATCGTCTATTAATTAATTCTATCATCATAAATATTTATCATAACCCATATCGTTTTTCTGAGGGCTCATATTTTTTCGGATTTTCGTCGGAGATTCAAGCCAGACCAGTAACCGTTCGAAATCGGACAATAAATAAATTTAATAGTTAACCTACGCGACGGTTTGAGAGGAAACAGTTAATCTCTGCGAATTAGTAGTGCTAAATTAGTTTCAATTGCATATGGGAGGAAGAAAACAAAGTCCATACGGCAGAAAAACCGATTACAATCAGTTAGAAAAGTTGTTGCGGTTCTTGTTGCGAGAACCTATATAGAGGCTAAAGGGATAGATCGAACTGGGTCGATTCTTTTATGAGAAATAGCGTTAGATTCTATAGGCGCCAAGTTGAACCAGAAAGAGTCTTAGATATAAACTTGTACATAGATACGATAAGGAAACTCATCCAGATTATCCCGTTATACTTATAGCTCGACTACGATAATCATCGGCGATCATCTACGAGGAGTATTTTTATTTTGATCAATGGAGACTCCACCTTTACGATAACGATGTGTTACGTTACCTCGACCGTAATAACATGTTCGATAAAAGGAGAACAACTTTGAGTTCCTCCTCAAGATCGAAAAAGATCATTTTATTTTATTTTCGATCGGTTATGCCATTCGTACTATCCTTACGATCGCCGATAAACGTAATGAATGCGTCCATAAATAAGAACGTAAGAATTTAACTCATTCTACTGCCGATGCATAGGAAGTATATTCGAGTCACGTGATGGGACACGAGATACAAAAGGCATAAAAGAAAGAAAGAAAACTATTAAAACGCTCTTATAATGTTGGACGACAGCCGTGACAGCATTTTCTCCTCGTTGACAACGTTTCTCTTCTAGGTGCAATGAACTTTAAGCTTCGTTACAAAGCCGTAAGAAAGTTAGGATAAAAGCGTTTAAGCACGAATTTGGCAGTGTAGACATTTTAAAAAAGTCGTAAGCATTTCTTGCAGACGTATTGTTATTGGAACCAGTTGAACAGCGTTCGCTTCGTGAATGTCAAAGTGCAATCTTGGCATCGTACTTGATCGGTAATATTCGATATGATCGTTGGTTTTCTATCGCACGCACGTCCTCCTTTCGAGAAGATGATCGTCGATGGACGATTAAAAATATAAGCCGAGTCGCGCATATCGAGTAGTATCGCGACGCCTACGCAGCTTCTCTCGATGCGCTCGTAACGAAAGAAGCTCGGCATCATTTCGATGCACTCGGTGCTAGTGAGTGTCCCGTTATATAGTAATACCCGCGGCGATGTTAATGAGATAAATTGAACTCACAAATGAACCGTAAAAGGTCCGATAACCCCTTAGAAAGGAATCGTTCTTTCACCTCCATTCTCTCGACTCGCGATCGTTCCTTTTAATTATAGAAATAATTATGCGCCGAAAAAGACGATTCGTCGGGTCAGGAATATAACGGGTAATAAATAGAATCGTTGAGTCGTAATAAAACTTACCCTCTCATGGTAGTCCCTTCGTAAACCCTATCGTATAAGCACGCGCGAGCTATATCGAGAACATCGTCCTTCCTGTTGCCATCTCCAACATCGAAGTCGTGGTATCGAAGCGTCGTTGCCTTCGGCTCGTTTTTTATCATCTTGTTTCTACGATTGAATTGCTACGAATTTAGGTTATATACATATATATATATATATATATATATATATATATATATGTATATGTATATGTATATATATATGTATATGTATATACATATATGCATATCATATATACATATTACCGTGAAAACGTCGAAGGAACGACATGTGAGAAAGATGGAGATTGTAGAGAAATTCGCGATATCGGTCACTGACCGTCAATCGTTTTGACAAGCATCTTAACGCGTAATCTCTCTTAGATTCAAAAACTCTTATCTTCGAAGATAAAAGCAAGAAGACGAACGGATTCCTTGACGACGAGCAAGGCCGCGATCTTTCATTGTTTTCTATGACGCTTCGCATAAAGGCCGCGCTATACTTATTGGCAGCACATTTATTTAGGTATCTCTTAATAAGTAGGCATCTATATATATGTAGGTATGTCGAAGGGAAA